CGTCAAAAGCATCATCGAGATCATCGTCGTCCACGTCGTCATCATCGTCATCCCCACCAGAGAGTTTAGCGGTAGCGAAACGACTCCGAAGAGCGTCGATCATATCACTGTCTTGCCATTTTTGTTCCAGTTTCTCATAATCAAATTCAGGAACAGCACGATAATCCGATTGCTCTTCCTTCTCCGTGTTGGTCTTCTTGAAGAAATCGTCTTCATCCTCTTCTCGCTCCTCGTCTGCGAATTCTTCTTCCTCATCTTCTTCGCCCCGCCATCTCCTCACCACATCTGCTGGGGCAATAGACTCGTCGTACATCATCCGCGAAAGGTCAGCAACACGGAACTTTGGTCGCTTGCCATGAAGGGCCTTCGCATTGGCAATCATGTTTTCTTTCCAACGAAGCGCGCCATCATCATCCTCCTCCTCCTCCTCCTCCTCCACGTCGTCCTCGTCAACGTCGCTTTCGAGCTCTTGATCCTCAACGGACGAGATGGAACCTAGGTCGGAATCACTGTCCGCAAAGGCAAGATCCCCTTCTTCACGATGGGCACTGCCATTCTGCCTTTCTTTGAAGTTCTCTTCAAAATCTGGTGGGGCGGAGACATCTTCCAGGTCACCATCCTCCTCATCGCTGAGATCGTCGCCTTCTCCAACCTCATCTAATTCTTCGTCTTCTCTGCTTTCGAACCCTTCATCCTCATCCGACAGTTCCTGTTGATCGTTCTCTCCTTCCATGACTCTCACTTTTCTCCTCTCTTTTCTGCCGACATTGTCCCCCTCGTCATCCGCCTTTTCTAGAACCTCACCACCGCTGAAGAGACGGACACCGCCCTCTGCCTCACCAAGCAATTTGCGCTCACCCTGCAAACCGACAACCAACTGCTCTCCGAAGCCGCGATCTTGATCGTCCTCATCTTCACCTCGTTCGAAATTCGATGTCTTGACGTCAATGTATACGGCATCCTTATCGACCAAAACACCACCGACATCTGACATGGGAGCGAATAGGAGTTTTTGCTTCTCGCCTAGTCTGCGTTTGCTTGACCTGCCAGATGTCTTGGCAAGTTGCTGGTCCATGTACGGGGTCGGACACGGGTCTGGGAGGGCTTCAATACCAGCAACTGTCAAGTCGCCAACGCCAGGAACGTGAACTCGTGCACCTTGAGCGGGAAAGTTCGTTCCCCTCAGGTATCCGTACAGCGCGACGGTCCGGTCGCACTTGGGATTCTCTTCTATCTGGGTTGGAGGTGTGATATCTAGAAACCGATCTGCAAGCGCGTAAGGGTGAGAGTTTCGCCAAACCAACGGCCGAGGATTCTTCATGACGGACAGGAAGCGGGAGAGATTATGAATTTCGCGGTCAGGATAGCGGCCGTTCACCACTCCAGAAAGGTAAAAAAGCTTTGCGCCGTTGTAGAGTTCACTCCAGAAACGGTGCTTCAATCTTTTTTTCGCCGCGCGAAGGGTGCTTTGCTTCTTGAAAAGATCCAGATGCGTCAGAATGCCGAACACATTTCCAGGCATACCACTGGAGGCCAAGACATTGAGGAACTCCATGGTCTCCATCTCGAACCCATAATTGCCGTCGATCATCAGAAGAACAATGTCCGCAATTTTCGAGATATCGATCATGCTAGCAAGGGAGTCGGAAGGACATTCAATAATTGTGAGCCGTCGGCGTTTGGCCGTCACCACCGTCAGAGGCCCTTTTGGTGTACTGAGTGTCTGTTTCGTATAACGACGAATCAAGGACTTAATAAGGGTGGTTTTTCCAACCTGCAAAAGTGAGCGACTGTCAGAACCATCTTCTCAAACTTTCTTTGGAATGGTCGTCATCATCAAGCGGAAAACTTACACCTGGAGGTCCAACAACCGCAACCACAAGCGGGGGAGCCTCTTCGGGCAGACGATCCACCAAGGGTACATGTAGCCTCTTCTCTTTGATCTAGATTGGTATAAGAATCAGCGGACAAGTTCTGCGGAGATGAGGGTGCAAGGGAGAAAGCATACATCGTGGGATCGCGCAGCCTGTCTGCCACCCTTTCCAGGATTCGAGAATGCGAATGCCTTCGGGTTAGGACCTGCGGAGCCAGGTATCATATCAGTATTTTATTCTCACAGAGAAAATGTCAAGCCAAGATGTCGAGTCTGTATAACGAGCTTGTCAAGCACTGAACATACCACTGTATTTCTTTTTCTCCTTTGGCGGCCGATGCGCCCTGTTTGACTGATCCTCCATCTTGGTAATTCGAGGTCTATGACCTCTAAGGAAAACTAATTTCCTATTGATGAAAAGATTTCAGCGCAAAGCGAAGCAAAACTGACGACACCTTCTGATGTTCTATCAAGCTAGACCCAAAATTATTATTTCCTTTTGCCGGCGCGGAATTTCTTCCCGCCGATATCAATCAAAAAAAGTTTTTGCTTGAAGGTTGTGGCCTTATTGCCTGGGGCAGAATTATTGTCACCTGACCAGACATGCCGTTATTGGACCCACTCCGGCCCGGTCATGAGCGATAAGGGCAGTGCCCTAGAATCCGGCCCGGGATATATGGAGAGACAGAGAGTTCAGTATCCATCTCGTAACCAAAAAGGCTGATAAACTTGGGATCTTGGGGTATGAGCGGGGCTTGACCCCATGTGGCATGCGGCCGCCTCGGGAATGAAGCCGAATTGGCTCCCTATTAAAGCCAGAGGTTATCCCCTGGCGCAAACTGTCATTCGGCTTTGAATCAGCGTAATAGCAACGGTTTTCAGCGAACACATCCATAATAATGACTACACCTCGTCGGCCTCCGCCTGCGTACACTGCCGCTAAGGATTCAGCAGTGTATGGGACGTCCCAAGTCTATAGGAATATCTCGGAGAGTGCTTCCAGCGATTCAGGGAGGATTCTCGAGACATCATTCACTATTCGTCCCTGCTCTGGACAGGCCTGGGTTGTGCCAGCCGGGCATATCTGTCGCCTGACTACACCAAAAGGGCCCCAAGTGGGCGACCTTAACATTTGGAATGCGAATAACCCCCGAGAGCGACTTTGGGCTGCTCGCACGCGTCAAATCCACGCTTCCCATGTGTCGGTCGGTGACCGCCTGTGGTCAAACCTGCCATATCTGCGCCCCCTCGTCACCATAACTGGAGACTCCCTGAATGGTGGACAATTACATGAGGTTTTGGAAGTCAACGGCCAGCGGAAGGAGGGCGCTGGCTTTGGTACTTCGCAATGGGGTGGACGTGTTCATGATTTGCTTGGAACCAGATGCGATCCCTATGTCAATCTACTTATGGGTGGAGAAACCTTTGACTTCCACTGCCACTCGAACTTGACACGCGCGGTCATGCCTTATGGCTTGACTGAATTGGATGTTCATGATGTGCTTAACGTCTTTCAGGTAACGGGTTTGGATGAGCAAGGAAAGTACTTCATGGAGACATCGCCAGCTAAGCCGGGAGAATACTTCGAGTTCTTTGCTGAAGTAGATGTGCTCTGTGCACTGTCTGCCTGCCCTGGAGGTATGCTTTCCGTGTTGAGTCCAGACTGGGGACTAGATGCTAATGAGTCAACTGCAGGAGATCTCTCTCAATGGGGATGGGAGGCGAAGGGCGAGAAAATGGGAGCTACTACCCGTCCACTGGGTGTGGAGGTGTACAAGCTGGCTGATCCCAAGATACTGGATGGTTGGAAACAGCCTGAGAGCCCCAATTATAGGGGACTGCATGGGTTGCAAATGCCACGACGGGAAACTGATGATAGTGGCTATGTTGGTCTATAGTTGCGTCCATGAGCCATTTTGTACCTCCTAGGAAGCGCTTTGCAAAGGGAGTCCGACTTTGCATATTGAACAGTACTGTATTTTCTGTTCCTATCACGAGTGAACTTCAGCTGGTCGAAACGGGGAAGTCGCCCTTTCTGTTCTGAAGAGGCGAGACCAGACCACAGCGTCCTTCCAGTGTCAGCATTCCTAAATTCGAAGCATGCTTGCGAATATTAAGGCTTGATAATCCCCTCAGACCCAAAATTCATAAGGCGCCAGTCATTCATTCGGACAATGAGCTCGAGAGAGCTCTCAATTCTCACCGTGCTCGGTCAAGGAAAGCATTGGTAAAGTATCTTGTCAAAAAGAAGTCCAACCCCGGCCGACAATTCCCACAAATGGCAGACAGATCCCACGGAAGACTAGCAATTACCGCAGGTACTGAGTAGGTAAAATCTACAAACCAGTTCAATTCATTATACAATGCTCCAAAGAAGTCATCTGAAGTGATGTTCTAGGGCTGTAGAGCACTTTGTGTACCGACACGTGACCCGATTGCCCCGCCTACATCCGCTCACTCGTCATCGTCATCGTGCTGCTACTGCAGATGCGCGGAGCCTTGTCACCCCACCTTGTCAGTGCATAGATCTATCGGGCTGATTAATTTGTTGGCAGAATAGCGTCATCTTGCTCGACCTGCACAAGTGCATACAATCAGAAAAGTTGTTTTAAAGCCTATGTTGCGATTGCTTCCATCTGCAGTACAGTAGTTGCGTGGGTGGGGCGTAAACATTCAATTCTCTGATTTCCCGCAATGACAACACCATTGCAATCTCTATCGCTGTAACATATCACGCAGATGTTTCAGAATGTTCTGAGTTAGATGGATACGCCACGAATCAGCTCTGTTATTCGTAGTTTGAATGCTCATTATTGTATGGTTCTGATAGCGTAAGCCCCGAGGCACGACTTTGGAGCCGACAGGTGTGGTTGCCTTCCCATAGTTTCCCCTCTCCAGCTGCTTCCTTATCAGACCCCTTTCACTTCCAGTCTGGGATCCCCGCAGGCCATATAAATTGTCCCTCTCCCCTCGAGTTACCCACCTGACCCATTCTGTTACTCTCTTACGATATTATACCTTGCCTTCCGACCAGACTCTCACATCGTCATCTCTGCCTGTCGCAACAGTCAAGAATTCATTACCCTTAATAGCATCCCCATAGCGTCTCTGAACATGCCTCTCTACAATGTCTGTCGTCCCCCTTTTGACAAGCCTCATCATCTACGGAGACTCTGACTGATCTGCGTATTCTAGATCACCCTGAAACCGGATGCTCCACACGAGGAGCTGGAGAAGTGAGGCCCCTTTTGATGATAGACTTCCAGCCGCATATGCTTACGTCTACCTCTTCCCATCTAGCGCAAAGAAGGTGGCCCAGGAACAAGGGGGAACCATCAAGCACGAGTTCACTCTCATCAAGGCGTTCACGTATGGCATTGTTCTTTTGCACTGCAGAGTTGGAAATTATTCGGCTGACTTTCAATCAGCGTTGAATTCCCAGAGGAGCATGTCGGTATCCTCGAGAGCAACCCCCACGTCCATGTCGAGAAGGATCAAGAAGTCAAGATCCAGTGATGCAAGGTGCCGACTAGGGCTCTCGACTCTCTCTTCACCCGTCGTTCATCCTCCATAGAACCTAGCTTGGTGGATCCCAATGATTTTCGGAGGAAGATACCCTATCTGAACGCCATAACGTCAGGGCTGGACCTCGGCTACAGTTATGTGTAGCTATATGTATGCGTTATAGATAGTCTACTGGTATACTTATGATGTGGTAATTCCTTTCGGAATGACTCCGAGTCCTCCTCTATTCCGTAACCGACATCGACTGCCAGATAGTAATGAACGACTAGAGCACAAAAAGAAAGAATCATGTAGTGGAGGCCAGAGGCTCTATTCATCACTAAAACAAGGTATCAAGACAGACCTATAAAAGTGAAATACCGATGCTGATGGGTTCACGTCGGAGAGAGTTGCACTTTGGTGAAGGCGCATCGAGATCCATGTTATGCGCCGATCCTGGCTTAGGGGACACCTATCACGTGTCAATATCCATTTTCGGTAAAGTCTCATTGCGACGGCGATCCGGAGTTAAGGTGAAGTCATCGTCAGTACCCCATATCAATGACTTGACTCAACCATTGTCGCTCAGCTCGTTCATGATGGCTAGCGTCCATGATGACAGCCACAAAACTTCTTAGGGTCTCGCCTCTAAGATACAAGCATCAGGTGAAGGTTCAATCGCCTTCTCACCCCCTTTACAAGGTGCGATTTTACTCGACATCACCACCTCTAGATCAACATGAGTCGGCTCTACATCAGCCATTTGCACATGGCGCGAATGATGAAGTTGCGCGTCTTGCGGCTAGCCGTCGATGTCCACTGACGCTTGCAGATCTACTCAAGTGAGGCACTGCAGATTTTTTTTTCTTTTTTTTTTTTTGTGAAAACATCTGATCATTTTTCTGACCACTGTCTCCCTTCAGGCACGGACGCCCGCCTTTGTCAAAAGAGGCGTTACTCGCGTCTGCGAATTTCACACTATCCCTTCTACCTGCCCGACTGGCATCTCGTATACAAGCGTTACGAAACCTCCCTTTCATCGTCGTTTCGAACCCACACATCTCGAATATCTATAATAATTACGTCCACTCCTTATCAACTCTTCTGCCCTATCAGCAACGGCAGGTCGCAACGCTGGAAGAGGAGAATAAGTTCGCAGATGTACTGGCGGACCTAGTGCATACACATGCAAATACAATACCAATACTGGCACGGGGATTTCTTGAATGCCGGAAATATATCAGTCCAGCCGATGTGACTCGTTTTCTAGACACCCATCTACGAGCGAGGATTGGCACCCGGCTTATAGCAGAGCAACATCTGGCCCTTCACTTTGCCTCACAGCCAGTTAGTGATGTCAGTTCCAGAAAAGAGCAGTCGTCTGAGAACACCGTCCCGTCGAATTATATAGGTGTGATTGACACGGCCCTACAGCCGGCTCGCATCGTGAAGGTATGCGAAGATTTTGTTGGGGAGATCTGTGAGTTGAAATATGGCGTGCGGCCGCGCCTAAAGATCGGGGGTCAACCGGACGCCACGTTTGCGCACGTACCCGTGCATGTTGAGTACATCATCACCGAACTTCTGAAGAATGCATTTCGCGCAGTTATTGAGTCAGGAAACGAGCGTGAGCCCATTGAAGTTACGATTGCTGCAGCGCCAGACGTTCCGATCCATCAGACCTACGATGCGCTTGGGAGAACGTCAAGTGCCCCAGGTATCTACCCTGATGCCGATGTTGGCTTCGAGACGGACACCGTGGTTGGTACGGCAGATGCCAATGAGTCAATTAAATTCTCAACACCGTCCTCGCAGAGCATAACCATTAGAATACGGGACAGGGGTGGTGGCATCCCCCGTGAGGTATTACCCAACATCTGGTCCTATAGTTTTACTACGTTCTCCGATTCAAACCTGCTGGACTCGGATAACGGAAATCTCGATGCCCTGAACACAATGTCTGCTAGTGGAGGCCAGCTGAGCAGTATTGCGGGACTTGGATATGGATTGCCGCTTAGCAGAGCGTACGCGGAATACTTTGGTGGCAGTATCGCTATTCAGAGTCTATGGGGCTGGGGGACAGATGTTTATCTTACTCTTCAAGGAGTTGGCAAGATTGAGTAGTCGTTTATTGGGGTCCTGACGGGTTGCCTGGGCCGCTCACCACTGTGATGAACGCTGCCATGAAGCGCTTCAAAGATAAATTACCTCATTCACGTACCACATGCTGGCTACTCTTGTCACATTAAGACATTCAGATAAACCTTTCTTTTCCCTTGATGACAATGAACGTCTCACTCCTGCATTGCCACTACAATCTCGGATCTGGTGATGATTGCCTCGCGAAAAGCTCGACGAAATCCATGATGAGTAGATCGTCCTTCTCAACCTCTTGGAGGATCTCCGAGATCTCCTTCTCGGTGAACATTAGTCGCATGTTTTTGGCGAACTTCTCTTGCACCGCGCGAGCTGTGGCAGGATTTCGCACATGACCGGCAGGGTACTCTACCAACACTTCGGGCAGTTCAGAGCTATCCAGCAGGTGAACCGTGAGTGCAGAGCCGATGCTTTTCTTACTCAGATCCAAATAGTCTCTCGTAAGGTGCTCGTCAACGTGAATGAAGATCCGCTCTCGTAGAGAAGCCAGCTCCTCGCTCCTCGCCCAGTAACTTTCATCTCGATAGTCCCTCGCCTCCGGCGCCGAGCCCTTCAGAAAGGCGAGCGCAATCACGTACTGGATGCAATGATCACGATCGGCAGCATTATGCAGCTGCCCTCGCTTATTGATGATCGAATCTGCCGCTCGGGTCGTCCGAACCTCAACCCTTGCAATGCATTCCGGTCCTAGCCCTCTCGCCCGGAGCTTACCAAGTTGCACAAGCGCCGCCTCAACAGCCGCAATTCCATGGCCCTCGACCGGCATAACCTTGAACAGGACATTCTGTATCGCCCACATCCCAAATGGCCGTGGCATCTCGAACCCATTCGCACCAAAGGTCCGCGCATAGAACCCAAATGGCAACGAACTCAGCGGCGTCGGTGCACCAGGCTGTCCAGCGCGCACGAGCAGAGCCAAATGCACCGCGCGCATGCACGCATCACCCGCCGCCCACCCTTTCCGTGGTATTGTGTTTGCGCCCGTCCTGTACACCCTGCTCGGCTGGCCATCCATCCAGACATGCGAGAGCGTCGCCAGCGTCTGCTCCTCGGTTAGACCGAGGAGCCAGGCCACGACGGCGGCTGAGGCCAGCTTGACAAGGATGACGTGGTCGATGCCAAAGGCATTGAAGGCGTTGCTGATCTGGTAGCAGCCTTGGATCTCGTATGCTTTTATGAGCGCGGTGAGCAACGTGCGCATTGTGAGTGGGGGGCCGGTGTGTTTGCATCTCCCTGATGCGGAGGCGCGACATAGCCAGTCTGCGACTGCGAGGATGGCGCCGAGGTTATCTATGCCCCGTCGTCAGTCAGTACTACTCAGCTCGATATGGAGGACAAGTCTAGCTACCAGAGGGATGGCCCCATTCTGCGCCGCCTAGCGCGTCATTATGATCCAGGTACCGGATTAAAGTGCCTATGTCGAATGCTCCCTTGACCGGGTCCAGGCTGAGATTTGTCCCTGGCAGTCGGAAGCCGTTCGGGACCTCTGTGCCTGGTACAGCGGGGCCCAATAGTTTCTGGCACTCCTCGCTCGTGAAGAGTGTTTCGATGGCGCATCCCATGGCGTCTAGGAGGGCCACGCGCGCAGCTGACCAGGCCTTTTCGTCGTCGATGTTGTAGTGGAATACATACTGGGTGATGTCAATGATTGGTTTGTCGTATGGGCAGGACATGCTGTTGAAGGATCGAGTACTCTCAGGTCGATGGAATGGAAGATTGGTGATAATGATACTTGATTTAATGTGCAGGCGTCTCTTCAGCAGCGATCTTGGTTTGTATGCTAGACGCTAGCGTGAGGTTGCATTGAAGGTATCACTTAAAAGACATTGGCGCTCAAACGTGCCACAGGATAGTAGTACATGTCCAACACAATACATCCAATGTATGATCATGACCGTCACTTGCCAACACATCTCGAGATATAGTCAAGCTGGACTGAAGGATATATACACTAAGTAGATGGCGACAGCTCACCCAAAACAATATAGACGACAATAAAAGCCAATATATACCGGCCAAAATGAGCAAAATTAGAATCATTAGAATCCTCCAACACCTCTCACCCTTTGTACAGCACCAACCACTCCTTTAGCCCAACTGAAGCGTCCGGGGTCAATCCCAATAGAACCCTTGGGTATCTCACCACTAACCGGATCATGCCAGCACCCGTCCTCGGTGCTCACAGCGCCGTAAATCGCCGTGTTCTGGTTCTGGTTTATCTGCTCCAACCAGATACGGCATACAAGCGGCGAGTCGAGGAGGAGGTTCACTTCCTGGCTGTGGTAGAAGGATTGCGTATCGAGATTTCCATTTCCTGAGTTGTCAGTACGATTGTATGTGTGGGGTCGGGTAGTACTCACCCTGTATAGCCACCCGCTCGTCAATGATCATAAGTTTAATGTGGCAGCTTCGCTTTTTGTATTTATTGTGGATTGGTTTGGTCTGGTCTTTGCCTACGTAGTTGTATATGCGCAGTCGCGAGCGTTCTTCGTCCGTATGCAGGGAGCGGTATAGTCGATTCGCGGTCATCTCGTTCGTTCCGTTCTGGAAGGGAAGGAGTTGGCCTGCGTCGTTGTAGCCAAGGCAGAGATAGCATGTGACGGTTACACCGCGACGGACTGCGTCAAGTAGTGCCTGCAGTATTGGCTCTGCGTTCATGTTTGGAGTCTGGACGAAGATGGAGTGCTTCGCGTGTCTGAAGGCGGAGAGGAAGGCTGAATTTTGTGGAGTGTAGATGCTGGTATGGTTTGGCGCTAAAGTATTGTTAGCAGTTGGTTCTTTTCAAGTACCAATAGAGGAACTTGCCTCCCCAGGGTTCTCTGTTGACCACGGCCATAGGAAATGGCTTGTGAGGTGGTAGAGTCATGTATGGTCGCATTGGTGGTTCCTGGTCGCTATCTGGGGCGTCGCCGGTTGTGTCTCGCTGAATTGTAGTATCTGAACGATTATTTAGCTTGCAGTCCATCCACAGGGGCCGGAAACATACTCAGATGGCGAGTGACCGCTTGGCTTTTTGATTCCCCTGCTCGGGGACGAATCGTGTCGTTGACCCTTTGCGCCTCGTGCTGGATATCAGAATCATAATGAGGGTCCTGCGTCGTGTGCTCAGGTAACGAAGAACGTAGGTCTTCATTAGACTCAACCTGTGAATGCTGAGCAGAAATGCTGGGAATGCCGGCGCTTGCGGCCGGAGAGGACAGCATTGGAAGGGTCGTTTGGAATACTTTCCCCCACGAGATCAGCGCGGTGTCATAGAACGAGTCCACAATGGGTCCTTCGACATGGACCATCATCTCGAGGTTGTCGTTGTCCTGAACATTACTGCTCTGAAGCAAAGCAACCCTTCGATCAATGACCATGAATTTGGCGTGAAAAGTTCCAAAGATAGGGCGGTGGTAGTTGACGACTTGAAGGTCAAGGTTGGGGATTTCTCTTGCAGGAGGCAGTCGGACTTTGCCATTTGGATCTGCATACTGCTTCTCACCGACGCTCAGATGATTATCCCAGAGCTGTTGAGGACTTCCCCGGTCGTATAACACTTTCACAACCACTTTGCTCCCCCGCTCGCCTGCTCGTCTTGACAGTTCTCGAAACGCGTTGGTTACGAGGGTCGATGCATCGGAGTAGATCCAGTAATTGGTCCCCAAGAATACCTCCTTTTCAGCTCGAGCAATACAGTTTGCCACATGCCGACACAGATCCGGCAACGGGGCCACGATGGTCAAGGGAACGACTCCGTGACTGCCCATCAGTGGTGGAGAGACGACTCCTCCCAGAGGATTTTTGTCCAATGTACAGAGAGCGTCGTGGTATATCTTTGATGAGTGCAGGTCAGAAATAATCTCTTCATATCTACCATGATCGCTGTTTTAATGTGAGGGGATATTCAATCTAACCTTAAGAAATAGATTACTCGGTTTTGCTGTTCCCCAGTTCCCACATTCATACGCTCTCTGCAGAACATCTTGACTGTCAGTGGTCGACTGCTTGGTTTCAACGAGCTTCTCCTTCAGCTTGTTCTCATGATACAGCTTATGGAACAACTTTTCCGGTGATTGACTTGGATCCCTCGCAAGCTCTGAGCTTACTGTTTTGTCGTGGTGGCACAGCTGGTACACCTTATCCGAGATCATGTCGCAGTAGGTATGGTTATCGCTCGTTGGTTGGCGCACTATCCAAATGACCAAGGAGCTCAGACAGATTGAAAAAACTGCTCCAGACAGCCTCAGAACCGCTGCGAGGGTAGAGCCATAAGGCTGGTCAGATAACTGGTGCGTCTGAGACATGTCCTTTCAATGACGTATATTTAGAAGGCTTTCTGCTCTAGAACTAACCTTAGCGAGCCATACTGACAACTGAAAACAGGCAGCATGATTATCCCCCAGAAGCCACTCAGATTAATATGTTCTGCCCCATCACCATCTTCAACTGTTCAGCGTATGACGAAAGCGTGGACTTTAAGCGGGCTCTCGGACGAGCCGACGTCATAGGCGCTAGCACCCCTGGCAGCATTTCCAGGTATATATCATCTATATTTCCTAGTAAACCCAAATAATATTCTAATTTCACATGTGTATTCAGTTCTTTTGACCTGATATTTTGGGAGTCTTCAGTCAGAGCAACTCGATCAACTGGTTTCTATAGGTGGGAATACATTTCAATCGACATATCATCGATCCCTCATCGAACATCGCAGAGACTGTACGATAATCCAGTTTCAACACCCTCTCCAGTGGTCCACCCACTAAAGTAGTCAAGAAGCTTAGCAGCCACTAAACAGTTTAACTACTCATGTCATGGCTTATTCCTAGTCACAGCGTCGATCAACCCAGGCGGATTACTACATCATATCCAGCCCAGGGTCACCATGTGGACTTGCCCACATAAGAATACACCCAACGGTGATAAGTCATGCAACAAGCCCACAGCACGACTGGAATCCTCAGACACTGGTCTCTGCGTTGCACTAGTTAGGTAGTCTAGTTGGCCGTGGCAATGGTTGGTCCATGTCACTTCACATCGTCACGAATCTAGATTCTAATAAATGCTAGCTGAGCAAAGGGCGAGCATTGCTATATCCAGACAAATTTCCCGTCGATGTGTACAGGTATATCGTTATCAGGTAGTTCCTCACAGGCACGTACATCTGGCATGATGGGTTTCGGATCTGTCATGTTATCAGCACTTGGACCTCATTTAGCTCACTCCCCCATATCATTCAAAGCTGCTCATGGGAGGCTTCCGCATCATCTGTTACATTATTGCAATCAATGCCGCAAACTTTGGGGGTCAACTAGACTTGTCTTGATTCTGGAAGACAGGTTCACAATTGAACTAACCTGTACCTCTCTAGATGACTGTATGAAATCACCGTCGCTGAGTCTAAAGCTCAAGCGTCAACAGTGGACCTCAAGCTACACCGGTCTGCTTTGGCAGTCTAATCTAGTATTGACTTGTAAACGTGCAAATAAGGAAACCAATGCCGCATGCTGGTATTCAGTATAACGGACTTTACCCCGCAACGGAGATACTGCGATAGCTTCAGACTGGTCCTCGGGCATCCCCCCTTTGTCACTCCACAGCTGGCTGGGGTACTGTTTACCATTGGAAACTGCCGAAATAGTGAGCTAAACGCCTGGGCTGTGCGATACTCATTATTAATCGTTCGGACTTCTCTCCATCGCGGCGAGGGTTCCGCTGAGTTGCTGGTATTTATAGGAAATCTGAGTCTGTCTCTCTTCACCCGTTTTAATAATCTAGAGTCCTTGCTTACCATCAAGTGACGTTGCTCTCCTCGCTTCAATCTTCTACTGGTAGATCCAACGATGTAGGTGGTGCTCATTCTAATTTATCTACACCTTCAAGAGCTGACAATGCTATGACCAGGGTTTATACCGCATCTTTCGCCTTCTTCGAGGCGCTTTGGGAGGTAGAAAGCTTTAGCCATCAAATAAGTCTCAGTGGCTGACTTCTACAGGCTGGAGTCACACATACGTTCGTCAACTTGGGCTCCGACCATCCATCGATCCTGGAGGCCATGGTCAAGGGCCAAAAGGAGAAGCCAGACCAATTTCCAAAGATCATCACCTGCCCCAATGAGGTATTTCTAGATTCTCATACAGTGTCTAATTCGGGATGGTTTCGACTCCAATCTGCTGACATTGTCTCACCCACGCTAGATGGTCGCTCTCTCTATGGCAGATGGCTACGCTCGACTTACCGGAAAGCCTCAGTGCGTGATTGTTCACGTAGATGTCGGAACACAAGGCCTAGCCGCTGCTGTACACAACGCTTCCTGCGGTCGTGCTCCGGTTCTAATCTTCGCTGGCCTCTCCCCATTCACAATTGAGGGAGAGATGCGCGGCTCCCGCACCGAATACATACACTGGATCCAAGACGTTCCCGACCAGAAACAGATTGTGTCTCAGTACTGTCGTTATTCGGCCGAAATCAAATCTGGCAAGAACATAAAACAGATGGTTAACCGGGCACTTCAGTTTGCGACAAGTGACCCGAAAGGACCCGTTTACCTGACAGGTGCTCGAGAGGTTATGGAAGAGGAGATACAGCCCTACACGCTGACTCAAGGCGTCTGGGGACCAGTTGCACCATCGGCTTTGACGCCAGAGGGCGTCGAGCTGATCGCCTCTCATTTGGCCGCTGCCAAAGAGCCTCTAGCAATCGTGGGCTACTCAGGTCGCTCTGCTCGAGGGATGAAAGAGCTAGTCACACTGGCCGATACGTTCAAGGGACTCCGGGTTTTGGACACGGGCGGATGCGACATGTGCTTTCCGGGCGACCATCCTGCGTCGTTAGGACTCCGTTATGGTGTCCATGACGCTATCAAGACCGCCGACTTCATCCTAGTTGCCGATTGCGATGTACCATGGATCCCAACACAGTGCAAGCCATCGGATTCAGCCAAGATCATCCACATTGACGTCGATCCGCTCAAGCAGCAAATCCCTGTCTTCTACATTCCCTCTCTAGCAACTTTTCGGGCGGAGTCCGCGACTGCATTCAAGCAGATCAACGACTTCGTCGCGTCTAGCAAGGCTCTGCAGGATGTGGCCAATTCTGAAGAACAAGTCGCATTCGGTCGGCGCCGGGAAGAAGAATATAAGAAGACGCGTCAAGCTGTTGCAGACCTTGCTGTAGTACCTTCGGGAGGCGATGACGCTTCATTGAATGCGTCTTACCTCATGGCTCAAGTCCGGAAATCTTGCCCAGAAGACACCATCTGGGCCATTGAAGCGGTGACCCTTACTGCGACTGTAGCCGACCAGATCAATGCTACCCTGCCCAAATCCTGGATCAACTGCGGTGGCGGCGGCCTGGGATGGTCCGGTGGCGGTGCCTTGGGAATCAAGCTAGCTACCGATGATCAGCACGGTGGTAAGAACAAGGGTAGATTCGTGTGCCAGGTGGTGGGCGACGGGACGTTCCTCTTCTCAGTACCAGGCTCCGTTTACTGGATTGCCCGGCGCTACAATATTCCAGTGCTCACGATTGTGCTGAACAACAGAGGCTGGAATGCACCTCGCAGAAGCATGCTTCTGGTTCACCCCAATGGAGATGGCTCGCGCGCAACGAACGAAGATCTCAATATCTCTTTCGCTCCTACCCCAGATTATTCAGGCATCGCGAAGGCTGCAGCTGGAGGTGAGCTTTGGGCTGGTCGCGCGGCTACAGTAGCCGAGCTAGGAAAGCTCCTACCAGAGGCTATCCAGAGTGTGCTCAACGGGACTGCAGCTGTCCTGGAAGCCCAGCTAGATGGGACCACTGGAAAGTATGTTGAGAAGAGATAGAGGAGTTATAATATCATCAGCCCTTTTTCTAGTTGGATGCTTTCGCCTAGTCGATGACTCTATCCACCAATTGTATCTCTCGGCATCTCTATAGAGCAGATTTTAGCCTAGCGGCCTAGGATTTAATTCATTTTGATGATAACTGTCCCAGGGCAGTGTCGCCATTCTCATCGAGAGTTGTGCTTGACGCTGAAGTGTTTATCGGTTGTCCGGCACTTATCAATCAACTGGCTCCGATCCCGGCGATAGCCTTATCTATGCGTGCGGGGGGGGCAAATTATTACAGTTGACGCTGTGTACGAGTTAAAAATTAGGTAGGTAGAGAGATGCATTCCACAGAACAAACAGAGAGTTCAGTCAGGGTTCCTATGTAATTATTACTAGGTATAGACCTAAGAACAACTTCAACTGCAATTGTTATGTTCCTAAGGCCTTGTTAAGTGTCCTCAACGACAAGCACTCCTGGTGATGGCAGTTATGAAAGCGTATTGAGCTGTACAATACCGTGCAACTAACCCAATTAGGCAATCTGCTAGCGTTCTCCTCCCGCGCCCTGTAGATGATCAGTGACTTAATCGCGACCCAAGAGCGCGGATACAACAGGTCAATTAGATAAGAGAAACACAGCAGGGATATCTTCCGTCCATTGAGAGTCCAGCGCGCTCTCTGGGGCTTCCCAGCTTCGAACAATGACAGTTGTGCGTGACCTCTCTCATACATTGAGGAATGCAGATTCGTCAAGACGTCAACCCCCATCGGGCGGAACGGACCCGCCATTTTCGGATGTGTCGTCGGCGGAGACAAAAATGGCGTTGGTATCGTGACTCAAATTGCCGGACATTCCCCCTGCACTGATCGACGGGGGTTATCTGCTATTGTTTTGTTAGTACTCTTTTTGATTGCCACATTGTCTCCAGGCCTGGATACTTATTGTGAATATCGCAGACAGATCTAACTTACCTGGACAATTTTAATTACTATTCCGCCACCAGACCAGAATCCCCGAGACCAGAAATGAGTCCTTCGATCGACCTTAAGGGCACGGATACGTCTGCCAGCCCATTAACAGTCGATGGCATTGCGGGTTTGAGAGCGAAGAGTGCGCCAATCCCTACAGGGATTGCGCCTGCTACGAGCAGTGATATGTTCAAGAGCACTGTGAGCACATACGGTTGGAGGGGTTGCGAATGGCGCTGATTCCCTTGTTTTCTCCAGTCATGCTATACTAAGCCAAAAGCGAAGCGGTGGGATCGTAAGTCTTTCCAGTCGTCCGGATTGTTGCCAGACGCATACACCTATCATGGTCGCCGTGGAGCATCTCGCTGATCAATCTCAAGACTACCTCTCTGAAGAAGCAAAGTCCCGACAGGTTAGTTCGCTGGATCATCAACTGGTTGAATGGCAACGGGGCTAAATTTTGCCTTTAGCAATCTACATTGAAGGGTGCAGCGCGTTACCTTAAGACTCCAGGTATCTCATCCCGTCACATCTCTTCGTGCTCGTGTTGGTCCAGGCGAAATGCTGATGTTAAACTATTGTAGGTCTCATCTCGTTGGGCGGTGGTCTGCCGTCGCCAGAATATTTCCCTTTCGAAGAGATTAGCGTCAAGGTCCCAACGCCGCCGGGATTTTCCCCCCAGGAGACCCAGGAATCGGGCGCTGTCCTGACCGCCAAGAAAGGGGATGTCCAAGCTGGCAGAAGCCTTTACGGTACGTAAGGAACTTCAAGGAACATAACCGTTGCTGATTTTTCCGCAGACCTCGAGGTTGCTCTTAACTATGGACAATCGACTGGTTCCCCCCAGCTCCTCAGATTTGTGACGGAGCATACCGAGGTATGAGCTCCTGAAGAACCAAAGTATTTGCGGCGATTAACAGAATCAGCTTATTCACAACCCCCCATACGCCGACTGGCAATGTTGCTTGAATGCTGGTAGCACATATGGGTGGGATACTGTACTCCGAATGCTCTGCACCAGAGGCGACTACATCCTGATGGAGGAGTATACATTCTCTAGCGCCAAGGAGACCGCTCTTCCATTGGGAGTCAAGGTGGCATCGGTCAAGATGGATGCAGAAGGTCTTTTGCCCGACTCGCTCGACGAGGTCTTGAGCAACTGGGATGAAGCTTCTCGGGGCAGCCGCAAGCCATTTGTCCTGTACACGATTCCAACTGGACAGAACCCTACCGGTGCCACGCAGCAGCTGGAGAGACGAAAGGCTGTATACAAGGTGGCACAGAAGCACGACTTGATTATCGTGGAAGATGAGCCTTACTACTTCTTGCAGATGCAGCCATACACCGGACCCGACCGCGAGCCTGTCCCTCCTCCTGCCAGTCACGATGAATTCATCAAGTCTCTCATTCCGTCATACCTCAGCCTAGATGTCGATGGGCGTGTGCTCCGACTTGAATCCTTCTCCAAGGTTCTTTCACCTGGCTCGCGGACCGGTTGGATCGTTGGCCCGGAGCAGATTGTCGAACGATTCATGCGCAATTGCGAAACATCTGCCCAACATCCAAGCGGCATCTCACAGATTGTTCTGTTCAAGCTTCTGGACGAACATTGGGGCCACTCTGGCTACCTGGACTGGTTGATCAACCTGCGTATGCAATACACCGGTCGCAGAGACGCCATTGTCAATGCTTGTGAGAAATATCTTCCCAGGGAGATCGCTAAGTGGAACCCTCCCGCCGCAGGAATGTTTGTGAGTATTCCTTCACCTGCGATTTGACAATCATGGTCCGAAGGCAAATTGACTGACACTAATAAACTCTTAGCATTGGATTGAGATCGATTGGCAGAAGCATCCTGCCGTGCCTTCGGGTAAGACCCGCGAGGCTATCGAAGAAGCTATCTTCCATGCTGCGGTGAATAACGGCGTGCTCGTCTCCCGAGGCAGCTGGTTTACCGCAGCTGGTCGCAACGAGGGCAACTTGTTCTTCCGCGCTACCTTTGCGGCTGCCAGCTCGGAAAACATTGCAGAGGCTATCGCTCGGTTTGCAACTGCCCTCAGAACCGAGTTCTCTTTGTAGATGGAGATGGTCCTACGCAACCTACGGGAATAGAACGTGAAGCGTGATATATTTACCCTGAATTTATTCATTAGCTTGGGAAACTCCATAGATTCTGAATACAATGTTCTTGATTCCTACGAGCTGAATAGGATGGCGTAAACTGAACAGGAGTAGACTTCTGGCCGAAAGGTTGATTGTCAGTACAGTGAGTGTTGTTCAGGCTAAAAAGGTAGCCCACCTTTAGACGCACAAATTGGAGTCGCCGATTTGGGGCTAAATTAGTGTCCGCTGTTTAGCGTGGTTTCACTCTCACACCCACATTCTCACTCACGAGGAGAACGAAAGATCACCGTGTTTCTTGTATAGCTCTCTTCGACACTTCTACGAGGTTTGGGAAAGAAAGTACCGGGATCAACCTGGGTAAATATTACCAGATCCTGTTTATCGCTACATTAGGTTCCGTGGACCATGTTAATTTGAGGCTGGGGTGTCCTTTTAACGACTTTCCTTGATGGCGAAACAGGCGCTGGCGAGGTGAACAACACATCACTTTGCGCTTAATATCCGCCACTGGCTCACGAAGCGTGTCTGGGATTGGGATATCTCAGACCTGTCTGTGATTGAGCATCAGTATTCGCTGTTTATGCCTTCGCCGGAGGCAGTGAGAATCGCGCAGGCTAGCTTATCGGCCGACGCCTCGAGGACCTTTTGAGTCAGCTCTGCCTGCTCAAATAAATCCTTTCTATTGCAACTGTGGGCCTTATTGTGTACCTCAATATGGACAACACTCGCGCCTCAGGGTTTCTGGACCCAACGTCCGCGATGGCGGCTGCCATCAGCAAGCACAAAGCAGAAGCCATCAAGCTAGCACGTGAACAAGGCGCCGCCGTGCGCGAGATGTGTCGCAGAGCAAAAACAGAGCCGCCGCCGTATGAGTTTGAAGAATTGATTGGGAAGGGTTCCTACGGTCGTGTCTACAAGGGCCACCAGCTACCTTCGCGCAATGTCGTCGCGATCAAGGTGATGGATATTGACTCGATGGACTACAAATCTGTGAGAGACCTTAAGGACGAATCCATTAAGGATTTCATACATGAGACGAAAGTTATGAAACAGGTCAAGGATGCTGGTGCGAAAAACATCAACGAGTTGATTGAGGCCATCTCTATCCATAGCCAGTTGTGGCTGGTCTGCGAGTACTGCCCTGGTGGTAGCGTTAGGACTTTGGTAGGCCCTGCGTCGTTACTGTTTCCCTCCGCTTGTCATCTTCTGACTTTGCAATGTTTAGATGAGAGCAACTGGTGATAAGCTTGATGAAAGATTCATCATCCCCATCGCGCGAGAGTTGGCTGTTGGCTTGCGTGCAATCCACGAGGCTGGTATCATCCATCGGGACATTAAAGGTATGTAGGCCTCTGCTGTCTGGTTTTGATTCACCGCTGAAGCTTTTGGTAGCTGCGAACATCTTGATCCACGAGGAGGGACGGCTCCAGATCTGCGATTTCGGTGTAGCGGGAGTACTCCAGTCGCACGTGGACAAGCGATCAACCTGGATCGGGACGCCTCACTGGATGCCCCCGGAAATGTTCTCAACTCGAGGCGAAGCCCATAAATATGGAAGTGAGGTGAGGCTGTCCATCTCTGCTCAATCCCTTGAAAATACTGACAAGTCAAGGTCGACGTGTGGGCATATGGTTGCACTCTCTTCGAATTCGCAACGGGGAATCCTCCGAACTCCAATTTACGGGAACGGATGCAAATTGGAAGGCAACTCAACCGTACCACACCGCGTCTCGCAAATGAAGAATACAGTGACGGCCTTAAAGACCTAGTATCATTCGCCCTCGAGTCAGATCCCATATCGCGCCCTACAATGGCAGACATCATGTCACATTCGTACATTGCTGGAACCGAGGAGCAGTACCCGACTTCTTCACTCAGCGAGTTGGTACGCATCTACTATCAATGGTCTCAGCGGGGAGGGCAGCGAATCTCGTTATTCCATCCGGGAGGTGCTGCCGCTGCGGAATTCCCCGACTATGAGCCAGACTTCGAAGAAGACTGGAACTTCAGTACAACAGATGGCTTTGAACGGAGGTTTTCCGTCATTGATCTGGATCGGATAGCCGCCTCGTTAGCCGAGCTAGAAGAGGAGATGAGCCCGACGACGACAGCTCAGCAGGATCGCGATCCCTTCGATGAGCCAGCCGGATCCGAAATGTCCGTGGAAGACAAGGCCAACTTCGACGAGCGTGTCCGCCGAGGCGCTGCGGCAATGGAGGGGCTATTTAACGAAGACATGCCGAGTTATAAGTACGAAACGAAGAACGATTTTGTGCCCATTGAGCCCAAGCCTCCAGCGTCTGATCTGCCCCTTCGCACGGAGACAGACCGGTCTTCCGTGACGTCTACATTCATTGACATTGACATCGGCTCATTCGACTCGTCGCATTATGCGGCTGGAGCTGCATCGGCACAGCCGTTCCAACTCGCAGACGCAGATACAATCAGAGCCAATAGGTCCACCGGTCGCCAGCAACACAATTCTGTTGAAGGCAGGTCACGATCATCGAGTCGTGATGCGGATGATAATGACGAATCCGAGCAGCTAACTTATCAGCCCCAGACGGGCCCACGCCCTCCGACGATGGACTGGAAATTTCCGGTATTTATGCAACCGTCGGAAGCAGAGCAGGCTGAACCGGAGAGGGCACAGTCACCAAAGGTGTCGGAGTCGCAACAGGAGGATAAACGGGCAACCATGGACTGGACCTTCCCGGATGAGGCCCAACAGAAAGACAAACGAGCAACTATGGACTGGACTTTCCCGGACATGACTGCCGCTAAGCCGCTGGATAGCGAAGAACCCGGCCGCCACGATACCCTTCGAGCGCCGCTTCCCGAGCTTCAGCCATCAGCTACTATTCGACAGTCCACCATTGGAGAGCCTGGGGATTCGCGACCGTCCACCTCAGCATCGACTGGCTCCGATATCTCAGCTCACTCTGATACAGACTATAATCCCTTCAAGTTTGACCGTCCTCCTACGCCTCCTGGTGAGCTTTCTGAAGCACATGGGCATTTTTTCAACAAGGAGCTACCGGAGACGCTAGAATCGGTGGGCTACGGTGACTTTGAACGGTCGTCAGTGTTAGACGGGCCGGGGCCAGATGAGGAAGACTCGCAGTCAGTGATCTGGGAGAACAGCAGAGAAATCGGCGTTCAACCCTCGCACACGGAACCATTTCCCACCGCCATTCCATCCAAAGAACTGGAGCCCCACCAACCCTTTCCCACGCTGACTGAGTCGCCTATGATTGAGCCTTTACCAACTGCCCGGCGGGATCCGCGCCCGGCTACGAGGGATGATATGGAGCCGGTCTACTTTCCGGATCTCGTACCGCCGCAACTTGAGGCTCTGACGGCCGGGGCGGAAGAAAGCACTGTGACTGCCGAGCTGGACAGACTTTTGGGCGATTTTCTGGATGCTCTCTCTGCAACCGGAGATGCGTTGTCCCGAGTCGCCGTCGTTCCAGAGACAGCAAGACGTCGGCCGTCAATATCTGAACAGGCTGAATGAACGTTGGGTTTCTTTTGAGGTGTTTGACCTAAGATCTTGCGACCGGCGCTTGGATGGATACTTGGAAGAACAGACAGATTGTCTATTGAACACAACGTCTGTCAAGTCCGTATTGATCAACGAAGCTCATGATGGATACTGTACATAACCCCCAAATAAAGACAATTGGCAATATAGCGTCTCTCAACTTCAATTGTAAATCAACAGCTCGACGGCAAGACTTCGAACTCCCCCTGTAGACCCAAGTGATCCGTGACCCAGACCTCTTCATTCGAGTAATTTTCGTCCTCGCTGTCGGAGTGATCTCCCTGAGAAGTAACCGTCACGGTGACCCCTTCTCCAATCCTTTTCAGACTCTTCGCCTCAACCCCACCACAATACAGGATCTTGTCCATACGACTACACCCAAACTGCTCTCTCATCCAATCCGGCACCTGCTGACCCCACGTGAAACTCTCCTCCGTCCCCTCTCTCCCGCCCAGACTCAAGAACGCATCTCTGAGACCACACTCCTCCGGCGCGGATCGATCCTCTGGCGCAAAGGCGTTAAGGTCGCCCGCTAGAATAGCTGCATGGGGAGTTGGCGGTGCATACATGCCCTCATCCTCGGGGACAGGCGCCGGGCCAGACCCATGCATGAAGCTTGACGCGAGATGTAGCTGCACCGGACGTCTGGGCGGATGCGAAACAAGACTCTCAAGATGAGTATTGCACAGTCGTAAGATGCATTCTTTGTGTCCTTAGCTTCAACCACTACAAAAAATGTGATAGGCAACTTACCACCCTCGGGCCCCGGGGGGCCAACATCAACATCAACAAACAACCCATCTCTCTCCATTCCTGAATTCGAATACGGCACCCGGAATACACGCCGCACCACCAACTGTTTATCGATCATTGTCGTTGTCCCGTAGGACCCGCGCCAATAATCGCTGCTGGTATCGGTGATGAAGAACTTCTCCTGTACCCAGCCCGATTCTTGGATAAGCTGGAGATCTGACCCGACCATCTCTTGGAGGAAGATGATTGATGGGGTCTCGTCGTCGTGCTGGGTTCTGTGCTGGTGGGACAGGTACTCCAGTGCCGCGGCCATGCGTTCGTGGCCGTGGGGTGTCTGGAAGTCGATGTTCCAGGTTGTTAGGCGGATTCTGGTTACGTTTTTGCTGTAGGATTGACGAAGATTAGAAGTGCTGGGGTTTTTGGTGATATCTGATGAGCTCCGGATCGGCGTCCAGCTGTTGTTGAAGTAGTGGTAGAAGGGTTGTGGGTTAGCGCGGTCGAGTCTCATGGCGGATTTTGCTGTGTGTAGTTTTTTCGCGAGTCCAGGGATTGGTTTTGAAGTCATTAGGAGAATACACTTGGTATGTTGGGTTCTGCTTCTATTAATGCTTGGATGGATAGATGGGATGGATGATGGCTGCCTGCGGATAGTCCTCATGCTCGCGCTATGGTTACTCAACGGACATACCTAATTTATGTACTATACGTACATTTTGAGGTTAGAATCTCTCCACAACATTATGGGTTTATTATCCCTCGACGGGTCTGATCTCTTGATGTCATTTGGCTTGATGTTCAATAGTGGAGTATTTACTAGGTAAGTGTGGTGTATCTTTCAGCATTATCATTTTAGATCTTCCTGGTATATCACAACCGGGCTGAAGTGCTACCGGTGAATGCAGCGCTCAGAACCGCAATCATCCTAAGCGCATCTAGTCATTGTTGACGACGCCTCGACGCGTTTCGTCTCGAGTCTACACACGCCCATCTCTCCTTCCGGTCATCCATCTTTTACTATCCACCAGTTGGGTTTGTCCCCCATTGCCCGGAGGGATGCATGTCCTGTGTTCAGTCAGTCATTGTCCAGGTCTTTCGTTCTAGTACTCGTTGGAAATGGCTCTCTCATTCGCGAAAACGTTCATTCGTTTTGAAACTTCTCCATCGCCCCAGTCCCCAGAGCAATGGAAGAAAACAATCCAAGATGTCAAGCTGCTCTATTTCCAGCGTCAGTACAAGCAATGCGCCGCCCGTTCATTTGAGATCCTAGAGGCTTTAGAAGAGCCAGTGAGTAGAGCCTGTTGCTACTAAAATATATGCATTAACATGCTCTTGGTCGTCAGATCCATCCGGTCTACAAGACATACCTTTATTTCTACAGCGCCATTTCCTATGAGGAAATGGGCCGAGCAGCCCATAACTACTCCCGGAGAAAGCTTCCTCTGCTGAATTCTGCCCTGGACAGCTTCGTCACCTGCAGTGCAATTCTGCCCTCGGCAATTCCAGTTCTTGAAGTCAACTCGGAGAGCTCGAGTCCTGCTTCGCTGGTGGAGTCATGGACTGCGTCAGACTTCTCGGAGAGTCCTTCGCCTGTCGGGGCCCTCGTGAGCAGCATCACGGACATCATCGACAAGACCATGCACTGCCCGGACGATGATCCTTTCATCTCAGATAGTGAGGGCTGGGTTGACCTGGCTCTCGACATTCAAGAGAACCTTCCACCCCGCATTCCACAGGACGATCAGCGACTCATGCCTTCGCCCCTTCGACTTCGCAAGTCGTCGGTCGATCTCCGTCAGGCTGGTCAATATTATCAACCTTCCAGACTGTGTCGCCCCCCTCCTCGTCCTATCAAAATTCTGCATGCAGAAGCCATGGAAAAGAACCACAAACCTCTAGGACCTAACAGAACTCTGCGCGCGCAGGGTAGAGAAGAAATTCAACCGCATGAGCACAAACAACCGCCCGTGACGGTGTCACGGGCCGAGTCCATTAAACGATATAACAGCACCCTCCAGTCCTTGCGAGTTCAGATCAACTCCAGCATCGCCGACATTCACGCACTCATGGACGAGGTCAAGGAGTTGCAGTCGGCCCGTCAAGCGTCGAAGAGTTTCCGCCGATCTGCTTCATTCTGGAGTTTCAGTCCAGTCAAGGAGGGTCCTGATGGTCAGGAGAAACTGGGTAGTTCGGGAAGAGTCATTGTCAAGGAGACCAAGGAGGAGCGGATTGCTCGACTGCGTGCTGAGGGATGGAAGACGGTCGGGTTGAGGTCTCCGGTCCGGGGCTGGAAGGGGGCGGCGTACTACCAGACATACTGCAATTCTGTTTTGGACGAATTGTATCTGGAGGTGTAACTAAGTGCCCGACAGCTGTCTTGACATTAGGGGGTTCTTATGGCAGAGTACGGAGTATACCATTGATTGCATCTCGCGGGGTTCTGAAGCGCATATCTGCTCATGATATTTGATGAGTGCGATGATTTGTGAGCTATCTAGAAACGAAAACTAAAAATAAAGTGATGTGGCATGAGCGATCACAGATGAAGAATTGACTCCATCAACCGTCTCTCTAGCGATCGTCTCAAGCTTGCGACCCCGTCCCACTATTTTTGGGTGGTGCCTTGAAAGTGGATCCGGCTTCAAGAAGGCTGCAGTTTTGGTACAAAAAAAAGTCACACAAGGCCGCTGGCGCGTTTCATGCTGATGAAGGAATGAGGGTCCTAGTGTTCTTTGCAATGCGGAAATGATCAAGGTGTGATTGATCGAAATTCGCGAGACGGCTGACACATGAGATCTGAGCTGCTTGATAGATAGGACAAGCGCACGATGCATTTTAACAGAGGGAGGTTGAACTTAGCGGAAGACTGACAAGGCTGAACTTTAGCCCCTAGAGTAGCCGATTACGAACTTACGAAGGTAGCCAGGACTTCAGTGAAATGATAGGGGAAAAGAACCCTCAGCCACTGGGATTTTGGAACTCAGTCTACTCCGTATAGTACTAAAGTGAGCACTCCATCATACACTTGGGAATATTTGGATCAGCCCCGCCGCTGCCCAAGGCTCGACCAGCTGGAGGTAAAGACTCCGTGGCTGTGCTGGTGTGACTCGGGGCGATTCAGAGAGACGGTCTGGAGTCTGGACAGTGCGATGAAATTAAATAAAGTATGGATAGTCCAAGGTCCAGACATCATTATTTCTTCAATTCATACTTCTCTTGAAGAGACTTCGTACACTCCAGCATCTTTCCTCCCGTGCACCTGCATCAATTCCACCGATCGGAGTGATCTCTAGAGGCTCAGTATGTTTATTTTACCTTCCCCTATTGACTTCATGTACTCCGTCCACTCTTGAGAAGCGCCGCTCCGTCCTGGCTGGTTGAGATCATGTACTGACGTGCCATTTGATCCCTCAATAGAATCATAAGAGAGGGAACAGAAACAGACATCGTCCTCGTCGTCGACATTCCCAAACCCTCCAAAATCCATTTCCTTCGCCCCGCCCTCCTTGTCCCCTCACGTGCGGGGTCTCCTATCAGCTTCGTTTTGTCCGCTGGCCTCAGCCCTCCACCAACGTTCTATTTTCGAGCTTGGGTCCCTGTCAGACCGACCCTGCTTCGTCACAATGAGTTGTGAGTCTCGCTTGTCTTCGTTTTCGCTTCGTCAATGCTCTGTGTGATGTGGCTGGCTTCTCTCCACCATATGTCCTACCATTGATCCTTTTCACGTGCGCTCAAATACTGGAGCCTGCTGGTCGGGGCTTGCGTCGTGCGATCATGTCCCTGTTAGCATTACCGTTAGCCCTCTCGAGTAGTAATGCAAGTCTTGTTGGACTACTCGTTCTCCTAGTGTTCTTTGGTTCGGCCATTCCTGTGGGATTTGAGTTTCTCACTGCTTTTCCTTTTGCGCTCTTGTCCTACGCCGTCTTTTATGGAACTGCTGTCCCATGTTCGGAAAGATGCTAACCATGGCATTGTTGCTTTAGTCTCTTCTATGTTTAACAAGCTGTCCGGGCAGCCCGAGAGTTACGAAAAAAAGTACGGTGTTCCAAGCCCTCTCGCCTCCTTTTCTATCATCCCAGGCCCACTGAAGACATTATGCTCACCTCTTCCAGAGCTCTGTATAGGTTTGGCAGGACGCTAGGTGCAGGCACTTATGGTATCGTCCGTGAAGCAGAGAGCAGCGGGGGAAAGGTTGCCATTAAGATCATCCTGAAGAAAAATGTCCGCGGCAATGAGCGCATGGTCTACGACGAGCTGGAGATGTTGCAGGCGCTCGATCACCCCAACATTGTTCACTTTGTAGATTGGTTCGAATCCAAGGTAGGTGCACGAGCTTAGCTTCCTATTCGCCGATCGCAGTCTGACGGTGAATCAGGACAAATTCTACATTGTCACTCAGCTGGCCACTGGTGGTGAGCTGTTTGATCGGATTTGCGAGTGCGGCAAATTCACAGAGAAGGATGCTTCCCAGACAATCCGGCAGGTGCTGGGTGCTGTGAACTACCTTCACGAACGGAATATCGTCCACCGAGGTCAGTCTTTCGGCCCAATTTTTCCCTGTTGGTGAACAGCGCATTAATGATGGCTCATGTCTAGATCTGAAACCCGAGAATCTCCTCTATCTCACTCGTGACCCCAAATCCCCGCTGGTGCTGGCCGATTTTGGTATCGCGAAAATGTTGGAGAACCCTACCGAAGTCCTCACGACCATGGCGGGCTCGTTTGGTTATGCGGCGCCCGAGGTCATGCTCAAGCAAGGCCACGGCAAGGCCGTGGACTTATGGTCCCTCGGTGTTATCACGTACACCCTGCTGTGCGGATACTCGCCCTTCCGATCGGAAAGCCTGTCCGACCTGATCGAAGAATGCCGCTGTGCCCGGATCGTCTTCCACGAACGCTACTGGCGCGATGTCTCCAAGGATGCCAAGGACTTCATTCTCAGCCTGCTCCAACCTGACCCTGCCAAGCGGCCCACGTCGCAGGAAGCCTTGAAACACCCGTGGCTGACTGGCGAGTCTGCCAGCGACCGCGACTTGCTGCCTGAAATCCGCGCCTACATCGCTCGATCCCGTCTCCGGAGAGGAATCGAGATCATCAAGCTGGCGAATCGCATTGAAGCGCTCAAGATGCAGGAAGACGAAGAGGACGATATCCCCAGCCCTGCGGAGATGGCAGCATCTGCAGCAGAACCCAGCAAATCCAATGACACAACAGCATTTCCTCCTCTCGAGGGGACGGAAGCAAATGAGAGCTCATCCCCTGCGCCTGTTGATGGTACAACTGGTGGGACCAAGAAGCGGAGTCTGAGCAAGATCGCACGCGGCTCGATCTTCCGCGAAGTCGTTCTGGCCAAGGTTCGCGAGATGAAGGAGAATGAAGAGCGTGAAAAAATCGAACGGGAAGCTCGAGAGCGAACTACCCATGCTTGATTTTCTGACCGATAGTCGATCAGTTTCCTTTCGTGTTTCTTAGAGCCTGTTCATATCTCGTGTATCCAGATCATGTTCGAGT